GACAGCCAGCCGGCCCTGTCCCAGGGCTGCCCATCCCAGAGCAGCCATCAGAGAGGTTCCCACAGCAGAGCCCTGCACACACATCCCCTGTTGGCATGCAGGTCCCAGCACCCGAAGGGAAATGTCATTAACCCTGCCAATGTCTGCGTTCTCACCTCACTGACTGATTGAACACTGGCATAACCACCCTGAGAGTACCTTCYAGACCATCACTAAAGCAGTTTACACATCCTAAGAGGACATGCTGAGGGTTTTGCTCCCTGCAATACACGGAGCTGTCRCTCTGAACACTCACAGGCAGCACAGAACTGCAGCACAGGAGCAAGAGGAGGACTGGCCATCACCTCTGACAACCTCAAACACATTTTGAGCTGCATTCTGATAGCACCAAATAGAAACACTGTAGAGCAGAGTCTGCTCAGAGAGAAGTCTGCACCTGCATTAGCATTTCCAGGGTGCAGCCACCACTGCAGAAACAGCCCTGCCCTGGGACTCAGCCCCAGAATGTGAGAGCAGGCYATCAGCTCTCATCCCCACCAACATCAGCCTGCCAAAATCCAAAGAAAGGCTCAGATCTTCTCCAAAGCCCATTAGACTTCATACAATTACACCCCCAAAACCAACCTTTTTAAGCAACACAGATAGTGGCTGGGAACTGTCAGAATTTGCCCCAACCAAAGCCACTCTGAGGAAAGTTGCTGGTGAAGACTAAGAAGGGCTGAGCTGATCTAACTCTGAGGCATTACTRACTCTCCAAAGCTGGTGAGGTAATCAATGTCCAGCACTTCTAACACCAGAGTGAAATGGTGTTTGAGAGTGACTGAGGGAAAAATGGGAATAAAGCCAGGGAAAGATTGCATTTTACTGTGGAAAAGCCCATTGTGATCATTCCTCAGCACCTCTTATTCCAGCCAAAATGTACAAGGTGCACTGGCTCTCATTTGCACTATAAATTCAGCAACTCTTCCAGTTTCCAGATGAATTTTAATTGCATCACATGCAATGGATTTCACAGGAGACATCTACAACAATTTCTTTTGTGCTCCCACTTTCACAAACATTAAACAAGCAAACACTAACACTTATTTCCTTCCAGCTGCAAACAGAACTGATTTTTACCTGTGCTTTTTCCCAGATCCATTCACAGCACCCCATCCACCCACAGCTTCATGCTGCAACTCCACATTCCAGCCTTTCCTTGCCTCCAAGCAAATGCCCTGTACTCATATCTCCATCTCATCAAAACTCTGAGAAATACCAAATCTTCATGAAAATCTGTCTTTTGGTTAAGTAAACAAAAAACCTAACCAAAACATACAGATTAAAATTCACCTGAGCCCAAAAGAAGCAACTAAAATTCACTCAGGATCTCTGAGATGATTTGAATTATCTTCTCCCTGCTACCAACATTGSTGGTAAGGATGATCTGTGGTTAACTCAGAACTTCCAGAACAAAGAGATTGCATAAACCAAGTGTTTCTAGAAGATCCAAATGTACTGGAAACCTGCAGTTTATACACAACCACGCTCATACAGGAGGAGGAGGAGGAAGGGGAGTTTCTCTCTGTTTTCCTCTGCWCTCCAAAGTCACTCTGGTCTCTGAATAAACCCCAGCTCTCACCCCACAAGTGCTGCACGTACCTGGATGTATCGCAAGGCACTCCTGAGGACGCTGAGGTTTGAGGTCTTCTTGTCATCTACGTTGGGGATGTTGCGCTTTAASGTCTCAAAGCACTCTTTCAAATGTGCACGTCTAAAGAAAACACAGGTGGGTYATCAGCTCATAGGACACACACCAGAAAGCAATTCCACAGAGGGGAGAGCTTATTTGGGGCCCTAATCCAGCAAAGCACCTGTGATAGCAGCCCTCCCAGCACAGCATTCACAGCTGAGACCTGGATTCYATCCCAGCTCTGTTAAGAACACTGGGCAGCCTTAAATGAAATATCTCATCTCCCTGTGCTGGTACTTCCATTGTCACCATACTTCCAATTTAGGCTTGTAAGAGTTTAGGTTCAGAAATGGATGTTAATTCCATATTCACACTGCAAMGAYCTTTAATTTTGGGTCAGAAAYSGATGTTTATTCCATATTCACACTGCAAMGAYCTTTAATTTTGGGTCAGAAATGGATGTTTATTCCATATTCACACTRGAAAGACCTTTAATTTTGGATCAGAAATTGATGTTTATTCCATATTCACACTGCAAMGAYCTTTAATTTTGGGTATTTCGCTCCTTTTAAACCAAAACAGAGTCACACTGTTATTGCTTTGCAGGATCAGGGCTTTGCAGGGGGTTGGGACTCAATGGTGCAGGTAAACAGAACACACTGGGAAGCAAGAAATGCAGAAAAGAGCTATAAGAAAGCAAAGCAACACTSCAAGATTCAGGAAAAGTCACTAAGAATTTTGTTCAGGTTATTYGTTTAAAAAACAAACAAACAAAAACCCGCCAAAGCCAAACAAATATTGACAGACAATAGGTCAAAAAAAAAGAAGAGGGGAATTACAATTAAAACACCCAAACCCCCGTCTTTCTACGCACCTGTTCTTCTCCAATTTATTATGTACTTCCCTGGTCCCAACCCTGYAACCCAAACAGAACAAAGATCAGCTCAGTGTCAGGTTGAAAACTCCTGCATTGCACCTGCAGCAGTGTGTGCATTGAGAGACAGATCAAGATTCAAAAGCAGCAGAGGTGTTCAGATATTAYTGGTTTAACACTAAGTACAGATGAATTTCTGTTTCAAGATAAACTCCATATTTCACATGTGCATCAGATGAACTAAGCATTGTGCACATAATGCACTTAAGATACAAACAGGTGTGATATGTGTGTGCATATCCACATATCTACATACAACTTCACAAAATGTGGAGTTTAAATATTTGCACAGTCCCACAGACTCCAGATTTTGACCTGGTTCTGATCTAGACCTACACTCCTGTGGGACAAGGTTTGTGCAGTTTCAAATTGAACAATTTGAACTGCAATTTTTGATTGGGCAGACACTTCCAACTGCTTTGGGTTTTTACTGTGCCTGAAACAACACAATGCAGGATAAACATGGAATGAAGCAACACAGGAATCCTCCAGTCACTGCTCAAGGAAGAACCAGAGGGAGTTTCTGGTTTTGGGGTTTGAGTCTGCCCACTCTCCGAATCAGGAGTATTTTTAGGAAAAGCCAAACAAATACATGTTATCTCAGTGTTTTAGCTACAGCAGTGATAAGGTAAATTAGCAGACATGGAGATTTCAAGTATTTTTCATACACTGTGACTGAAAATACAGGACATTGAGGTAATGATATTTAATAAATTGTCACAAGTATTTGACAACATTTTCCCACAAAACATTTACAGGCTGAAAYGTGTTGTGGGAACTTTTCAGGAGCAGTTTGTGGGTGCACCTGCAGCCCCCCCACTGTCCCCACAGTCAAACTTGTGCAGCCTGTCCTTCCTGGTACCCCATGGCAGCAGAAACCTCCTCCACAACCCCCTGAACCCACACACATCAGTGACAGGGTCTCTTGGTTAGTGCACACACTGACAGTGTTTTTTACAGACAGGCTCTGAAAATCCCAGTTTCCCTCAGAGGAATTACAATGGCTTTTTACCAAAGCCTTTACCTTCACAAACTCCTACCTGATTATTTCAGCTCTTTCCTTCTATGCATTTTGGGATCTCTACATCACAGTGGACACTATGAACTCTTTTTCTGCCCACTACACATCTCCTCCAGCCCCACAAGATTTGCACACCATCATCTCCAACACCACTGCCAGGAGTCAAACCCCTGCTGCAGGCAGACAGCACAGCCAGGAGGGAAGACTGAATGGATCCAGGTCAYTCATATCCCGGCCCCCCWCAACCCTAATCCCGGCCCCATATCCMGCTCCTCCTAACCCTAATTCCGGCCCCCTGTTCCATCCCCTGTAACCCTAATCCTAACCCAATACCCTGCCCCCTTAACCCTAATCCCGGCCCCATATAGGGTAAGGGGGGCTGGGATATAGGGCCGAGATTAGGGTTAGGGGTGACGGGATATGGGGCCGGGATTAGGGTTGGGGGGGGCAGGATATGGAGCCACGATTAGGGATTTGGGGGGTGGGATGTGGGGCCAGGATTAGGGTT